ACTTTATTCTTGAATGTTGTTACAGCAATTGCCATCCCCAGTGCAGGTGGTGGAGCTCTGCAGGATATCTGGTCTCAGGTCAAGCTCTGGAGGTAGAAATCACATTACATGTTATTAAATATAGGCTGCGGTTCTGTAGGAGTCGATCAGCGTTTCTGGAGTGCAGGGTTATGGAATGAGAAATTTAAGTGATCATGCATACAAGAAATCAGTGCAGACCTCAGAGCCTGAGCTCTGTAAGAGGATGTGCCAAATTGCAGCCTTATGTTGCTCTGTATTATTGTATTCCCTGTTTGGCTAGCTCTGTGGAGCGTATTACTGTAATGGTATGTGATATTGAGGCTGTGTTAAGCCTTTATTATTAAACTCTTATAACTCCTCTGGGACTAATGGTTTGTGGTTTCTCAGGACCACTTCCAAAGCAGCACACAATCTTTCTTTTTTTTTTTTTTTTTTTTTTTTGCCAGGGAAGTCTGTTTATTGCTAAAGTCTGGTTTTGTTTTGTTTTTTATGTGAAGAAAAAGAATAAGAGAATTTATTGGTTCTACTTCGTTGGTTCTCAATAGGATGAGACAAGTATCTACAAATGCTTGCAGGGAGAAATTGTAGGGGGAAAAAAAAGTGGCTTCCCAGAGGGAAGCTGTAAAGAGTCTCGCTGAAATTCTGAAACACCAGTTAAGTAAACTTACAGATTATGTTTCCTTATTAAACATGGATTATATTTGCCATCACCATTCTATGTTGCCACTGTGGATTTTCATTTTCAGAGCTGTGTTTTCATCAAGGATGAAATCAAAGCATGGACAAGTGTTTGCACTGGAAGTTGGTCTGTGTATTTGCTCTTACATGGGTTCAGTAAGCCCACAAGATCGGGCACTAAGAGCTGATTCCACACATCTCCGCAGAGTGCAGTACCCAGGCAGGATATTGGATGTTTATCCTATGGTGTCTGCGGCTCTTTCTTGGAGTATAAACTTAAGCCGTTTTCCAGGATGATCTTGTTTCTGTGTCTGCTACAAACTCTACAGTTTGTTGGTCAGGATCATCACTCCTTTACGCAGACTCAGATCTTCATTTATTTTTCTTTCATTGCAGATGGAGGTGTTGGGAGGCTGCAGTGGTGGAAGGTGCAGTAGCCTGTAAGGGACAGCGGTCAGATAGTTGTATGCTGTCCAGAAATGCCTTGACCTAGGCACTGTGTGCAGCAAGATGAGTAATTTCTTTCCTCTCTGTTGAGGCCAGTGGACTGTGGCGTAGAGTTATCCAGGCTGTCAGAAGCTCAGGGATAACAAAATAAATAGAGGGAAGGATTTGTAGGACACCTAAGAGAGGGGACGCTAGGGTGGAAAGGGGTATGTACACGTGAGGAGGTGGGATGAGGGCTCAGGGACTTCTGAAGTGTGGGACCCTAGCCTAGAAATATAGTCAGCCCTCATACCTGGGAGACTCAGGGCACAGTTACTACAGGGTCCAGGTAAGTGCAGTGACAAGGGGAGCCAGCTCTGTTTTGCAGGATTTTTTGCGTTCAGGGCAGAACTGTGCAAATCCAGTTGTGTTCCTTCAAAGGCAAGCTCAGCTGTACGCCCAGATTGGAGTTTGAATCTATTCCCAGAGCAGCGCTGGGTCTGTCTGCAGTTTGTCTGGGAACTCCTGGTTCCCAAACCAGGCGGTTCCTGTATTGGATCTGTCACTGTGAGCTCTCGCGTGGCACTCCACAGCCCAAAACAGCTGTGGTGGAGCAAATCCAGGTAGCTCTGCCAGCCCTGGTTTTCTTGGGGTGGTGGAGCAGATTCACACCTTGCTCTGATTTCAGGTGCTGTAGCTGGCTGGTGGGTGGGAAGTGACCCAATGTGTAGGTCCCACAGTGGCTTGGACCCAAGGTGACCCAAAGCAGTTCTGCTGTCTGGCTGGTGAGGTCTCAGATGTTATTCCTGGCACCGAGTGCCTTCTAAAAAAGTATTTCTTCTGTCTTTGTCTCTTCTGATGGTTTGGACCAGATCCAGGATTACATCTGGTTTATGCTGTATCTTCTTGTGTTTTTTTTCTTTCTTTTTTTTTTCCCGCTCTAGCTACTGAAAAAATGATTGAAGCTAACGTGAAAACAGATGTAAAAGGCTGGCATTATGGTGTGTGCAGCCTTAAGCTGTGCACATTGGCAAGTTATTGGGTGTCAGGTTTCATGATTTGAGCGTGAAGGCTGCTCTTCAGTTGGGAAGGTAGAAGAAAAAACATTTAAGCTGCCTTATGGAAGGAGGTAGCTGAAACATCAGAGGCTGCTCCTTCAGACATGAGCACTTCTTGGCACCTAGACCAAGGGCGTGTGTAAGTGGGTATGTTTTACATCGTGTCTTATTAAATTTTATTTGCCTTTGAAAGACAAAATGGGCTCAGGGGCTTGGGGGAAGGCACTGTGTGGGCCGAGCAACCACTTTGCCTCCGAAAAAAGTCTAGAAAGCCCAGAGGACTTTGAACTGAGTGATGTCTGGAAGAGATTTGAAGCTGGAAGCAAAAAGCCTGTTCTTGTGTTTGTGAAAGCAGGACTCTGTCTTTGCAAATAAATCAGACTTGACTCAACTGCTTATCAAATCTCCATCAGTTTATTACAAAAATCACCTGTAACACTCAATTTCATTGCATGTGAACAGCTATCTGGGTGGAGAAAAGGTGATATGATGATTATCCTCTCAGCCCTTTCAACGTTTATTCCTTTCTTTCTGAAGCGTTAATGTCAGAAATAAACACTGTGTTTTAATAAAGATCTGTGGTTTGGGGAGGCTGACTGTAATACAGGCTATTCTCAGTGAATCTGGTGTTGAAACTGAAACTAATAGTCACATGGAGAGCTGAATTGGAAAAGAGAGCTCGCATCCTCACTCTGCTGGTCGTGTTTGTTTTTGGGAGGATGCTAATGTTTTCAGTTAAGGAACTGAAACATTAAATACGATCATTGCAGCCTGCAAAAATGGTAAGTATGGGGCTTGCAATGATTTTCAGCCATTCTTAGATAGGTCCTAACATTTCACACCCAGTGGCTGAATGCAAAATATATTTGGGAAAATGAGTGACATTTCAGATTGGCATTAACTACAAAGCAATATTTTATGTTGATAAAAATCTCAACAGTTTTTTACAAGTAGAGCCCCACAGAGATACTTCAGAATTAATTGATGGCAGATGAATTTAACACAGTTAAAAAGAATTAAACCCCTTGCTATTTAGAATAATATAAAGATGTCTGAATTTCACTCCCAAAAGAGGAAATACAGTTGTTAAGTCCAGATGGATTTTTATTTTTATTGGAGTAAGTTTTGAGACTAGTAATCTTTTTTCCCTATTTTTTAATGTTACTACCACAGTGTTGGATCTGGGACAAAACAGGCCTTTTTTTTTTTAATTTAATATTATTTATTGTTTTAAATCCATTTAGATGAATGGTTTTACTGTGTTGATTTTGGAAACCAACACCTTCTTATTGAATTTGTAAGATTCGGGAAATGAGCACAAGGATGAAATATAGTATAGAAGACTCCAGGGGTCTGTCCTATGTCAAATTACTGTCAGCTGAATTGGGATAACTGTCAGTGTCTGTGGTTGTCACCTGCCCAAATGCAAGGTGATGCTGTTGGGAGCTTAACCTCCTTCCAGAGTGCTAAATCTGATTGTGATTGTGGTTTTTGCCTTGTGCTGAGGGCTTGCATCAAGGCAGTTGCTGTGATGTTGCAAGTGATGTGATTACACTTGAGGTCTAAATTGCAAAGAGAAACTGAGGAATTCAGTCCATTCATTTAGCTGAAGGTGAGAGGCAGTTCTGCAATTAGTTGCTGTGCCAGTTTAAAGCTTCTCACTGCATAGTTGTTAGTGCTTTCATGGCAGTCTGTTCTTCCCTGTGTTTGCACACTGGCAAGCTGCCTCTAAGTTCTGGGCCCGATTCTGCTCTGGTGGTGGTGGAGTAGAATTCCACGGACTTTCTGCTTTGGTTGGGGATTGGGATAAAAAGGATGGCCAACCAGGTGGCTTACTACCAAAGTAATTGTTATTTTATCTCTAGCAAGAATAAAGCTGGAAGAAAACCAGCACTGAGTGTTGTACCATATGGCAGCTCCACTTGGTGGGGCAGAATATCAAACCATTACTGATAAATCTTGCAAATGGGTTCTAGGCTGTGGAGTGGTATATGAGGAAAACGAATGCTTAATAAAGGAGGCTGAATCATGTGGTGAGCTAGATGCACGCAAGCAATATTTGTTTCTACATGGCCAAATTTGAAGTTGTTTATCTAAAAACTAGGAACTAGAAAGCACAATTGCAGCACAGTTTGTCCCATCATACGTAACAGTGACTAAAAGTCTCGGTAATTAGCTGGTGAGCAACAGTCGCTATTGAGACCGTGGCAAACAGTGTTGATGTGCTCCCCAGATGGCAAAATAAAAGGGTGTCAAGTAGAGGTTTTACTTTTTGGATATTTCATACACCTATTGCGTTAGGTGAAGGATGTTGATGGCTTGAAATGTGTCTGTGTGAGAGCCACTGGTGTGATTGAAGATGTGGAAGACATGCCTTATGGTGAGAATGGCAAGAAGCACAAAGTACTTGGCTTAGCAAGCAGAGTGTCAGGAAGAGCTGATCTTGATAACGAAGTGCCGAAATGGGGACAAAAAGTTCATAATAAATATGGTAAGAAAGAACTGTGAACTCCGCAGTCTAGCAGTAAAAAGCATGTTATGCTTCAGTTTTGGCAAGGTCAACCAAACTCATTTACTTTAGGCATGAAATGAAATTATTTTTAATAAATTATAGCTACTTTGTTGGGTAATGACATCATGATTTGTTGGGTTCTCCGATGCTCCAATACTGGGTGCCCGTTGTCTGGCCGGCTGGTGAAGAAGTTCTTGTGTTTCCTGGTGGAATGGAGCATCAGGAATTACTAAAGTAAAATAACAAATGTTACAGCAATGGTGCTAAGAAAAAGGGGAAAATGAACTTGTACTCTTGTGTTACAGATTCAGTCGTTCTTTCCTTTGACTCCGTTGGACATACGATAGGCTCAGGTACAACCTTGCCTTCTTCTCTCTCTCCCAGCTCGTGACAAGGCCGCTATCTGACGGGGCACGGTAGCCATGTTGGGAGGCAGGTAACCGAGTCAGCCTCTGTGGGGACCAGCTGCCCAGCCACGCTGGATAAAGAAAAGAGCTCCTTTGCTAAGTCTAGTGGAAGCATTAAGGGTCTTAGCACGACACGGGGATTAACACGTGGGACTGCTTCCACCTCCCGGCTAGGAAGATGACCTGGCTGCGTTACGTGCGGTCGCGGTGCGGCCTGTTCTCATGCGAAAGGCATTAGGATGATGTCACCCACCAGCTGAGGAGAAACTGCTCCACGCTACTGGGAGAGTTTCTCAGCTAAATAAACAGTTGAGTTATTTGGAGAAAGGCAGCAGGAATGGTTCCAGGAAGGAGAAAGCAAAAGGGTTACAGTTCAACAAATAGGGCTGGAAACTTTTTTTTTATTTGGCGGAGGTCGACCAGCATTATCAAAGCACAGTGCAAATGGTGCCCGACCTTATTTCCTTCGGAACCGAAGCACGACCTTCAATTAAACTGAATCAGAAATAAAAATAAATAAATAAATAATAATAAAAAAAATCCTTTGTGTGGGAGGTGCTTCATGAAGCCAGTAACTATCCATTTGGCTATCAGGAAAACATAAGCTGTAGCCAAGACACACCATAGTGGGCACCATACTCAATAAAATTTAATTTGCAGTGTATGTATAATGATATGTGAACTGCAAGGGAAAACTAAGAATTACTTTTTATAACTTTAAACCCCTTAACACTTAAAGGATGTGGGTACTTACTGTCTTGGAGAAAAGAAAATATAACCCTAGGAAAGGTTTCACATTTTATCTTAATTGGTAGCCTTTCCTCTTAGGTTTGTAGGAGCAACATGCTGCCTTCCAACATAGCACCTGTCTTCTGCCTGCACACTTTGAAAGAGAGCTTGCTGCCTGACACTAATGGCAAAGCTTGAACACCCAATTCTGGTTTACTAACCCCAGAGCTAGTGGTAGTTAGTTGCTTTCTTTACGATGCCCCAAATGCTTTCTGCTATCCCTGCATCTTGCTTTAAAATCTAATACCTGGAAATTGATCTGGTGTGGGTGCATGGTCTGATCTGGGAGAAATTCAGGGTGCTGAGTGTGGAATGGGTATGGTGTGCTAATGGGGAGAACAGGACCTCTCTTAATTCCCTTCTACTAATTAATATCAATCATAACTGAAGTGTGTCATTGCCTGCTTCCTTCTGCATTGGGTGATGGTTTCTTTAGCCTGCAAAAGTAGGGGGGGAAGTTGCATAGGTTTGGAATAGTAAATCTCTGAATAAAATCCAACGCTGTATTTAATTTTGATTAGAGCTGAGCAAGTCTGAATCAGCGTACCTTCACTGGAGTTATGCTGGATTGATACTGGTACAGCGAAGAACAGAACTTGTCCTGGAATAAAACTTTGAAATATTAACATTTCTTCCATAATACTTCTTTGGCTTCTAACTCATGCAATAACAGTTAACCCTGTGGAGAGCTTCCAGTGCAGGGTATCTATAGAGTTAATCATAAACATCATTATGATGCTACCAATAGGGTGGTAAATTTATTTATGAAAAGTAAGTTCAACTGCTCCATGTTCTGTGGAGTACTGACACCAAGGAGTGTGGGAGACGAGGCTAATGTGAGCCAACAGACTGTCTGGGTCTGCTTTAAAAACACCGGTTTTTGTTCTGCTCATGCATTGCAACCCAGGCTTGGATCGGTTAGGGATAAGGCAGTAAAACTTGATCTCTTGCAAGCCTTTGCACTGCAACTAGATTGAATTTCTTCACTGAAGAAATACAAAAAAAAAAACAAAAAAACTCTTATTTGAGAATGGAGGCTCATAAATGTCCCAGAAAGCTGTATGTTTATTGCTTTCATATTTAGTACTTTGCATTCATTGTGCTGGAAACCAGATTGCGCTGAACTGTATCTGCTCTGATATATGTAATAAGATGTGAAGATGTGTGGTGTCTATCCAACTGAGGGGTAGCTTTCCTTGTTGAACAGGAAGGAGAGAGAGAAAAACTGTGGCAATTGTGCTTCCGCAGTCCATCCCATCTCACCTTGCTGCAGACCCAGGAAAAGACAGAACCCAGAAAGAACCAATGGCAGCTCCAGACACAGCCATTCCTAGTAGGTGATGTTTCAGGTTGGGGTAAGGAGGGGCAAAAGGTACATACTGTGAAACATAACAATACCTATACATTTTTTACCAGTCAGAATTGAGACAGCTGTGAATAGTAGTCTTGCTGTTAAGTTTTCTTGCTGTTTAAAACTAATACACTGACTTCTATTTGCATACTAATCAGCTTTTAGAATTGCTCTTTTGTAATTGTTACTCCTACCTTGTTGCAGCTTCTGTATTTTTTTTTTTTTGAGTTGGCTGTTGGTACTCATCTTGGTGTTGCCCTTAACTCTTTGTGCCATGTGCAAATCTTGGTTTTCAGTGAGGCTGGAAGTCTGGCCGTATACTTCTCAGGCTAATTGTACTCTTTAGGTTGCTCTGCGTAAGACTTTCTGAACTCCGTGTTCAGGAAAGATCATCTGGCTTTTAAGCCTTAAAGTACCCTTTCACGGAAGATTATTAGCCCAGAGGGCACAACAGTCAAATATGCCCAGAGTGAGACAACTGTCTGAGGCTGATGCTGTGGTCTGGCTTCCCCAAGCCCTCATGTTTTTATGATTATCTTCTAGATTGCCCTTTCCCTTGAAAGATAAAATTTGAGCAGCAGAGATAAGTGCTTGATATGATGTCTAGGCCAATGCTTCAGCCAAAACTGTTTCAGGAAGGATGATTTCCTGCCCTGAACTTGGAAACGTTCAGCAGGACAGAGGCTGTTTGAGTAGACCTAGATTTCATCTGCTTGCAGTAAAGAACAAATGCTCTTTCCCCAGGCCCTAGTTGCTTTGTTCTACTTTGTTGATAGCAAGTCAGACATTGGACCTTGGAAGTCAGATTTATACCCTCACTGTTTTAAGACTTCTTCTGCCTCCTGTGTCTGAAAGCAAACAATTAAAATTTGTCTTTGCTCAGCCTCATTAGAAAAAAGTGCATTGGAGGTATAACTTTCCCATCTGCTAATGCACTTGCTGGGAAAACCTTATAATGGGCTTGCACTGTTGTTAGATGTATTTGGTTGCAGTACTGGCAGTACCTGTTGTATAGCAGTCTTGAGAACTACTGAGTCTTCAGCCTGTAGTTGCAACATCTCTGTTCAAGCAACCAAATGTTAGTGAGGCCTTGCTCAAACTGTTTAGAGTATTGTAACTTGCTTCTTGTTTTTATTGCTTTTCTTCTAAATTTCATTCTTGGCCCTTATCAAAATTTTGGCTTGACTTTGGTAAGGAAGATGGGGCTTTTACAATTTAATTTAGAATAGCCTATCTACTGCAGCTCATGTGCTTGTGAAAGCCCACGTGTCAGACCATGCCTCCAGGTGCTGAATTTGGAATAACAGTACTGTAATCAGCTGTTAGTTTAAATCTCTGCTTATTTAGGTGTTTGCTGCTAGTAATTCTTTCTGCTAAAGCCCTTCCCCTTTTTGATGGGAGAAGCTGATGGAACTACAAAAGAAACTCTTTCATCTGTTGAAGATATTCAGATAATCACATTAGGAAGGAGAATAACCCAGAGTCTGTCCTTCTATACAACACCAGAGTGAATTTGGTGACTATTTTGGATCCTCCTGCATTTTGGATGGAGAGTGGCATGGATGGAGGCCAGAATAGGAACACAACTGAAATTGTCAGGCATTAAGTTGGCAGAATAGTGACAGATTTCTAGCATGAGAGAAAAACACTGGTGAGTTGCAGATCACTTGCTGTTCTTTGGCTTTCCCCATGGGAATCTGGTAGCACAGGTGGCTGCAATTGAAAGCCCTGTTGAACTGTTCCAGAAATATCCTTCAATCTGCTCACTTTGGTTTCTAAGTTTAATGGCAATTAACTTAGATAATATGTTAAATAATAGAATTTGTGAGGCTCTGGTGGATGGTCTTGGATCGAGGGAAAACGATTTTAGTTTACCTTTGGAGCTGATATGGTTCTAGTATGTGTAGCCCAGTCTGTTTTTCTCCACATTGCATTCCTGACTATCACTCTTAATGCTACATGGTGGTGATGGGAAAGGAGGGGTGGGGAGGTGGGCTTATTATGCTGTATTTTTCTGTATTTGTGTAAAGTAGAGAATAAATAGGAAAGATCTTTTTTTTTCTGCTCTTGGTTTTAGTGGCTTTATTGGGAAAAAAAGTTTTTTCCATTTCATTTCTTATTAATGAAGTTCTACTTCATTCGTTATTGCTTTGAGTTGTAGACTGTGGGAGCTGCTTGAGTGCTTGCCAAGGACTGTCACGTATTAGTTGCATAGTCCATACCTGACTCGGCCAGCATGTTCAGTGTCATCATCTGTTGTCTTCTCATTTATGCTCTGTTCCTCCAATTGAAAATACAGCTGTGAATGAGTTGAGGTGCGCATGCCAAGAAGTAGTCTAAAGAATACCTTAAAATGGAAGTATTTTAATGGGATTTTCCTCTATCATGTGGCATCTCTGTATCAAGTCAGTACATCCTGTAGGTCAGTAAAAGCCAACATAGATTACTGTTTTGTTAGTATTGTTCTTGACTTTTATTAGGAAATCCGACACAATATCTAAAATGAGGAATATCTCAGATGATTCAGTAGGGCAGCATTAACTCCATTAGCCACGTGAATACATGGCAGTAAATGAAACAACTGTTTATTTAGGAGAGTTTGCAGTCTGGCTTTTAAACAGATGACTCCCTAGGAAGAGAAAAAGGGCATACATAGTTCATAGGAGGAAATTTTTCATCTTCCAATTGGAGTCTTTCATGGAATTGGCTTAAAGCAGTCCATTGGTTTTCTATCCTTGGAGGCTGCTGAAGTTGTATAATTCCTGACAATTCTTTTAGAAATAAAATCTATATTAAGGTAGCAGAGCCTTTCAAAATGTACTATGCTGGAATGACCTCTTTTGTGTTTTTTTGTTTTTTTTGTTTTGTTTTGTTTTTTTTTGCTTTATTATACCTATTTTGGAGGTAAGATAAGCAGGCAAAAGACTTCTGATGGATGACCCAAACAGCACTATCAGCAAGTGATTGCTTATTTGTTCTTCTTGTGCCTGGGGGATGAATAATGTAGTTGCAGTGCCTGGTGAAGGAGACCCCTCTGGTGTATTGCTTTCCTCAGGCTGTAAAGCTGGTCCAGATGTCTATGGGGCCCCAATCAGAAATTACAGGGGGAAAAAAGATGAAGGTATAGAGCTGGAAACTACTTCCTCTTGTTATTAAATATGAGAAAATAAGAAGTATCATCATGAGGTTAGGTGTCACCAGGGTATGCAGGGCTTTGTGACTGGAGACAGATTTCCCCGTTTCCCTGCTTTGAACTCCCAGGTTTGAATTTCACTTGTGCTGATGGTGCTTGGCGTATCTATTTCTGCCAAATAGGGCCATTTTTTGTGAGGTGCAGTATTTAGAAAATAAATAGAGCTTGGTGCAGCAGGTTTGGTATCCTTAGATCAGTTTGCACAGCCTATAAACAGTTTTAATGGTTATGAAATATCAAGTTTTGCTGCTGTTGTTGGGAACTGCTCTATAGTTCCTGGTGTTTTTTGTATTTTTCCTGATTAGAATGTTGTATGATTTTAACTATTTGGGCTGAAACCTACACTGGAAGGTGGGATCATGTTTCAAATTGATATTTTCCAAAAAAATTTAAGCTATTCAGTCTTTTCAATAATAACAAAAAAAATCATCTTAGAGAATATTTTGTTAGCTAATATAGTCTTTTTATTTCTTGTGTTGGTCCTGGTTCTCTAGACCTTGTGCTTTCACATAGGAGTGGTATTGTCAGGGAAGTTCTTTTGCTCCCTATAGAAAAAGAAAGCTTCACTGAGGCTACATTATAAGTCACTGAAAAATCATTTTTTATACATACGATTGGTGATACATGCTTCTAGCACTGGGCTGCAAAGGTTAGGAAATGTTCTTCACTGATAATGGTTCTGTGCATTTTTACAGTGCAGGGAAAAGCAGCAGGGATTGGGTTAGTCTAAGGCTAAAGGTCCTTCCTGGTGTCATTTGAACAACCTGCAGAAAAAGGCTGTTAAAAATGTATGCAGAAGAGTAAATGGGAGTGAGGGAAAAATGGAACACAGACTTCAGGGGATGGGCACACAGTCTATGCAGAGACAGGGCTGAGGAGCCCAGGGGGGCTCAGTTTTGCCCCTGCTGAACATGGCCATGCAATATTTTTTCTATTTTTTTTCCCAAGCTATTTAATTCTTCCATCAGAAGAGGTTAAAGTGGAAAATCCTAAGGAAAGGATGCAATGTTGTGTGCTTGTTTGTCCAGTACTCAAACCCTTGTTCAGTAAACCCAAGCAGTATTTTTTTAACCCTGGAAGAAAACCTTTCCTCCTTCCATTTCAGTTGATCCATTGCACATGACTTTTTTCATCAATTCTTGTTTTGTGAGTTCTAGGGGAATCGCTTTACATCAGCTGAACTTTTGTACCTGTCCATATGTCTTTACTTTGTCCACAGTAAATGTGGGGTGTTTGACCCCTTTTTCACTGCAGGGTAAGTCATTTTACCTGGCCTTTGCTACAGATGAAGAACCCAAATGTGGGCAGTGACCAAGGCTTAGTTTGGTTTGAGACCCCAATTCCACTGAGACCCAACTGCATTGGACAGGATGAAATGTATCGGGGTGGTCTGAGCTGTTCCTGATAAGACTTCTGTCTCCCGAGTATCACAGCACTTTCTTTGACAAACACAAACATTTTGCATAAAACAGCTGCAACTGAACTTTCTGCCTTCCCTCCTGTATTTGCATTATGGGTTAAATGCAGAGAGAACAAGGGCTGCGTGTGGCCCATCCCTTAAAGAAGTTTAAATTTAATATTCCAGTTTTGTTGGCAGTTATTTGTACTGCGCTTCTAAATAGGTAGTTGCTAAAGGAGTAGCACTTCAGTCACGGTGCAGTCATTTACAGTGGTCTGGAAGGATAAAACCAGTGTGCCAAGGCAATTCTTGCATTATTGATTTCAGATTTGAAGCATAAGGGAAGAATTTTGTACATTTTGCTTGCATATAGCTACATGGTTACAGATGCAAAATGCAGATTGAGAACTTGATTGATATTGTGCGCTGTGCCTTATGGCTTTTTGGGTGGTCTGTATGGAGTTTCTAGACATTTGACAATGCATTTCTCACTTGCTGCCTGTTAGGCGGATTTCTCTTGGATGCTTGGGAGAAATTTCCATGTTAATGCCAGCATTGAATTTGGCACAGGGTTTGCATCATTTATAGAAATTGCTATGCTTGGCTGTACTTCTGTTCACATAACCATCATTACATGCTTTGTTATGAAACTGTTGTCAGTTATTAAATTGTTATTCAATGCTGATCTTCCTGGAAATGGAGACATGCGTCTTATTTCTGACCTGAGGAGACCTCTCGATCTTACGGGCATATGATGAAACCTATTTCCAATGTTCATGCATTTCTGTGCCTCCGTACAGTGCCGTACCACTTTGCCAGCTGAGATGTGTAGCTTCCTAGCACAAATGACAAAGTGGTCCTTAGATCTCTTCTTCTGTTACCATTGCTTTTATCCCTTACGGGCTCAACCATGTGGGCTGAAAAGGTGAAGTCTTGTTCAGATTCTTGCAGTGAGTTCCTTATTCCATTTATTCATTTTATTTGTTAATTCCAGCCAGCACAGCTGCCTTGTCTGGAGACTGGTGGGAAATGCCATTTCTCGGAGTGGTATGAAACACTGCCAAGCATGATAAAGTCAAAATCAAAATGACAGTGTCACCAATACAGGCTGCTTTGGAGCTCATTACAGCCAAGAATATTGTGTTATCATGAGTAAAAACTTTAAACCTCTAGGAGAAGAGGAGAGTGTGTGACAAACAAGGTAAATCTCATGCAACATTGCAGTGGGGTATGTCAGCTGTGGCCCTTAGTGTTCGGTACACCTGCGTTTTCTGGTGCTTTGATTGCAAAGCTCATAAAAGGCTGAGTTAGTAGAAACCCAGGATGTTGTACTGGTTATGAGGTGATGCATCTCTTATTGCATTTCCTCTCGTTGTGTTTCCTGTTGGGAAGGATGGAACGCTAGCTGGAGCGGGGTAGGGATGACAGCAAGCTGGTCACTGGCTGTATGTGCTTTAAAATAACTAAATATATCTGTTGCCATTTACTCAGCATTGATGTTTTCGGAAGGAGGAAGGGTTAATCAAAACTGAATGCATGATTTTTCCCAGACCTTTCCCTGCATGGTCCTTCATGTAGAAGAAGTAAGGATGGAGAGCAGATAATTTCTTGTGGAAATCAGGAGGAGAGCAGCACACGGGGGCAGCGCAGCTTCCAGTACGCAGGGGTTGGAGGAGGGATGATGCATGGGTGTGCTGCTAACACCGTGTGAGTGGGGAGGGATGGGACGGGGGGTGGCACACTGGGTGCTGGCAGAGAACTGACAGCGCGTGCCAAGATCTCGTGCACGCCTTCTTCAGCTTCTGTTAGATAAGTTTATGTGAAAAGTGATTCTTCCCTTGACTCGGGAATGAAATCTCAATGGATATAAAACCAATGGCACGGTTTGTACTGACCTACTTGGTGCAGTTGTTTTATCTCGGGTACACGTTTAGGCTTTCCTGTTCTGTCGGTAAGTGGTGGCGTGAGGAGCTTGTTTGTGGTCTTGTGTAAATTCTGCAGCAGAAATTCATGTGGTGTTTTTGAGGAAGGCAAACTTCATTTCCACTGCACTCTTTCTAAAAGACTATGAGAAATCTTTTGCTTATTGATGGTGTTTTTTTAATACCTGCTGATTGTTGAGCTCTTGGTGGTTTATCCTTTACTTCTGTATTTGCATTGTTTTTTCTTTTATCACAGTGAGACTCAGCGGTTCTCAGTGTGAGTAGGCCCCTGAGCATAACCCAATAGGAGCAGGACACTACAGCTGTTAGTTCTGTGTCTTTTGTGAATTCTAAGCGTTTCAATTCTTGTTTCAAGTGTTTGATTCACAATACAACAATGTATTCAAAGATGCTGAATACAAAGCTTCCTGCATATGGTAGTTACAGGAACTAAGTTTTATTTCTTATCTCTGCTCCCTGTTTGAGTCTGTGACACTGACTTTGCAGTTTCCTATTGAACAGCATCACATCAACTTGAAGCATTTTGCCCCCCTGAGTGACTCTGTATAAAGGGCCGCTTGATTATGAAGTTGTGGGCTGGAAGAGACGAGGAATTGATGAAAAACTTGAAAGTTCTACCAAATCAGGACCTAGGAGGAATGCTTGTTTTACAGATTATGGACGTTGCTTTGCTTTTTTGATTGCAAAAGTATCTCAGTTAGTTCTACTTATAAATAAGTTAATCATGGCCCACATGCTTTGGTATTTGCTGGACATTCAGAAATGATAGTTTGGGAATACCTTTAAGTAACAATCTGTGATAACAGCTGCTAGCAACTGGAAATTATAATACAGCTATTTGCAATAAAAATAATTATTGCCTTTCTGCTACATTGTGGTTTTGGTACCTTTTGCAGAGGAGATGCTTGCAGTTCTTATGATATTGTGTTCCTTGCTTTTGTTTTGCAGAATACGACAAACTGGGCTTTCTCCTGAACCTGGACTCAAAATTGTAAGTACACTGTCGGACTCATTGTTTCTGTAGTTATGAATTTATATTGCAAGCAACTTTTTGTCACTTGGCCAGCTGGTTCGTTGGACTGTATACTCCTACCTGGGACAGCCAAATCCTGCAGCAACCTGGCAGTTGCTTTACAGTAGGCTTTACTGGCTGGCTTGGATTGTGGTTCACGGGCTTTAATTCCTTAATGACTGATCAAGGGGCTATAAATGTCCACCTGAAGCCATGCTTTTTCAGTCTGCTCTAGGTGTCGCATCCTAGTTATCCATCTTCCAAACAGGGAGAAGTGCATTACAAATTTGCAGGCAGGAGGAATGCCAATCTGCAATTTACTGGAAAGGTTAAAGTTCCATTTCCACTCTTTTTCTTTGAAAATGGATACTGCTATTTTTGTTTGTAAACTGGAGTGGAAAGAACTTCAGTATGAGGTGGTGACTGTGACTGTTTGCTATGTCAGAAGAACAACAAAGTGTCAAAGGAGGATGGATATTCATCATACTTTTTGCCATAATCGGTCAAGTTGAGACTGAACTTCGTAACACTAGGGGTCACTAGTGACTCTGTTTCTGAGGTCAACAGCCTAGGGGAAACTTTGGCATTAGGAGCAAAAAGACTACTAAAAACCTTCTGCTTCTACTACTTAAAAAGACATTGAAGCAATCCAGTAGCTTTGAGTGACTTGAGGATGCATCCCCCATCCAATGTATCACATTAATTAAAAAAAAATAAATCGGTATTTTTAAGAAGCTTCAATGTACTCATTGGGTGTAACGTTAAGGTTTTGAGTTTAGTCTTGCTGAACAGCTTGTGAACATCCATAATGAAATAAAAAGCCTTACAACTGTGCTGGGGACTGTTGTTCGCAGTAAGTGAGAAGATCTCTAGGTAGGAGCTGCTTTTACAGAAGACGGTGAGTATGCAAATCACTGTAGGTGAGTGTATCAGGTGGGATAGTGCTGTAGAAAAACATATATGGAAAAAAAATGGAATACTGATTTTTGTAAAGGATGTGCATCATTCAGTGTGCAAGAAGTATGACAGTTATTGCATGAATGAGGACAGGGTTTCTTTTTGGTAATGTAACGTTCTGTGCTTTATTTGCATACCCATGGTGGCTCTGCTGTTCCAATTTCTATACTAAATTTTCTGTACTGGGACATCCTTGTGATTTAGAGAGCCTTATGGTGCTGTGGATGAGATGATATATTATCTTCAGTTTATACACATAGATGCTAAAGCAGCGAGATTAGTCCAAAATTATGAAGCAGGTAAGTAACTTCTGAATGAACATCTTAGTGCTAGTGAAGAGAGAAATAATTTAATTTTTTTAGCAGTCTGACTTATTTTTTTAACTTACTTAATTTTTGTCATGACTGATGTATTGAAAATACAGCTCACTGAACATCTGTGCCCTTTTGATGTACCGACTTTGGATGCCAGCCTGTCTAAACCACTGCTTCAGTCTTGTTCTTCCTACCCTTCCTTCTGTGCTCACTGTCCTTTTGTTTGTTGCTTTTAGCAAGTCTCACTGAGCCTTCCTTCATTTCATACCTGTTACATTTTTTTTCTCTTCTTTGCTGACTTACCTGTTTGGCTTATACCTCCTTTGGGACACAGCCTGTCAGTTTTTTTTACCTGCTGGAGGGCTTCCAAAACCCTAAACACTTCTATGTAAAACTCTCCTTGATAAAAATTCTCCATTATCTTTAATAGAATAATTTTGTTGACTATTCAAAAGATATTTATATAGCACTGTAAAAATGCTTGTTTGCTTTAAAAGCAGACCAGCCACAAGTTTAGCTTCTGGAAAGGCATGAAAAATAAAATCAGCATGATTAAAATAAATACAATGAGGTTAGGTTAAGGTGCAAAGAAAGCAAGTATATCGGTAGGTGAAATCACATGGCTGGCTTTTGTGTTTATGTTGTTTTTAACTGCAACAGTTCTTCATTGGTTCTATTTTTTCCCTTGTTTGTTTATCTTTCCTCTTTGAAAGTAAAGGTAGCACTGCTCTGAGGTGGACCTGCTGACTTGCAGAGTTGCCTTCCAGCCTGAATTATTCTGTGATTTTTTTCAATAGCGAGAGAGCTAGAGAAAAGCTGAAAATACCATAAAACATACGAAATAAATGTTGAAAGAAAAATGGGTGTTGGAAGATGAAGCCTAAAGGAATTTGCTGCTGTTCCACAAGTTCACCATGTGGTCAGGATACCAAATGTGTTTTTTAAGTACTTTCTGTGAATTCAGTGGAATTTAATGGTTAAAAATGTGTAGTGCTTTCTGCAGCTCTTAATCAAGATGTTAGTATTGCAGAAGGACTTTCTGGTTAAAAAATACTTGCTCAGAGAGTTAAGAGGGATAATAAGTTCTGTGCTGATGACTTTTTTGGCAGAAATAATTTAATTATGTCTGTTGTGATATAATCGTCCTGGTGGAATTTTGCCATAGATCATAACTTTATAGAGTGCACTTAATTGACAGCGTGTGAGAACGTTGTGTGACTTGAAGCACTTGGGGCAACAATTAGTTTTCTCTTTTTTTTTTTTAATCTTTAATCTTTCATTTGTTCGAAATCTGTTCCTGGCTGTGTTACTTAATATCATTTAAGTGAGTGGAGGAGTAACTTTCTACAAAGGCATAGTTGCAATAAAACTTAAGTGCTCTGACACAAATTTTAAATTACATTGTACAGAGGAAAGTATTTGGCAGGAATAAATAGAAATGTATCCATTTGCCTTTGCATCTTTTTTTTTTTTACTACTTTATCATACTGTACTTTGTAGGTACCCAAGGCATGTTACTCCTTTTGTTGTGGTTACAGCAATGTAATGATTCTGTTCACTGGCTCTTTGAGTTCATGGAAGTGGCAAGGAAGCCACGTTTGTTCTCTTTGGAAAGAAAATGTCAGAAATACGTGTGTTCTCTGCGGGAATTTTATGGCTGATACATTCCTTGCTATGGCATTAGGGAGGCTGCAGCGGCCAGAATTCTCACCTGGAAGGGGATGGAAAGTTTTTAAGGTACTGCACACGTCTTGTTGCTCTGAGCTTGTCAGAATGTCACGATGGAAGATGCTTGCTTTCTGCAGCCTGTGCTTAGGCTAGGTCTTCTCTGGAAAGTCTTTTATCTTTTAAAAATGAAGATGGTACCCAGGTAGGGACTGTTAAAGAGCTACAAGATGAATAGAAAGCTGAGGACATCTGCAGGCAGTAAAGTTACTGAATCAGCTGTTTTTCATAGTCCTGAGGAGATTCAGGTCTTGTTTTGACTAGCTTATTGAAAAAGATCTGTTGCAAAAGGAATTTATCTTTGAGTTATGTTTGTACCAACCATAATATTTCCAAAGTTAGAATACCAAAACAAAATATGCCCAAAGTCTGTAAACAGGCTGGTTGCATCAGTTTCTCCCAGGTAAAGCAGTTTCCCAAGCAGCAGAGCTACATACTATTTCTAAAGCTTTAAGAATAAAATCCAACATTTGCTGGTTATGTAGAGAAGTGTATTTATACAAAAAATACGATACAATTCATAGGTCTTAATCCTTTTAGGGGTGAATAGTTCCTGAACAACTTAAGGCCATCAGTCATGTTAGTGACTCAGCCAGTGGATTACTAGGTGCCACCAAGATTTGCAGTTGCTTTCTAACATCTGTGCTTGGCAAAAGGGTTGCGTGCTTTTATTACTATTAAATATTTATATTGTAGTAATTCTTTGAGGCTGGCCAGGTCCTAGAAATGAGTCTCATTCACTACAGATTCTGAGTCATTCTCAGAGCAGAATCTCTATTTGCATGGAGTGAAAGGAGAGTTCTGCAGGAGGATCAGCGTATGGTCATGTAGTTAATTAGAGAGTGTGTCTCAATGCATATTTGGTGAGGCCCAGATTAATGTTGTGTGGTCCTTTTTAGTTTGTCACTTACTAGCAGAAAAGCTCGGTTCAGTTACCATAATGATTACTTGGAGTTACACGTTAGAAGTACAGATTTGCTTGCCTTGTGCACGTCAGAAGCCCCTTTTTTGTGACAGCCAGTGTGGCTTGGGGCGTGTTGCATTGTCTCCCTTATGCTTCTATACTTGCTTTCCTTACCTTGCCTGTGTGCCATTTTACAACATGTGAGATGGAAACTGGTATCTGGTCAAACTGCTACTTCTGCCCTCAATTCAAACTCATCCTTCAAGAGCTATTTTGGAAAATACTTTAGCTGCTGGATCGATGGCATTATGTTTTTAAACAACAGCCAGGTAAAGGCCTGCCTTGGGTAATGGCTATTCTCTTTACCTGCTGCCACAATCAGCTCTAAACCTTCATGGTAGAATCGCAGCTGAATGATGGAGGAGGTGTCCCAGGGTTTGACTTTGTCTGGGGAAAAGCAACTCCCTGATTAAGTCTTGCAACTGTTAGGAGATGTGCTTGAGCTTCCTGCCAGCATTTGGAACTGCTGGAAGTAAAATTCTTCACTTAATAAGAGACTGGTATTATAATGTGTTAATTTGAGAGAGTTTTTTTTGTAGGTAGAATCACAAGCAAGAAAATTACTACTTCTTTCAATCAGAAAAAATGACTGAGATCATTATGGTTGACCACAATAACATAACATGAATGTAATTAATACACTGTGTTTATACAAGATATGGTATACATTCTATATAACATAGTCTTCTAGATAATTGAAATATGGAATACTTTTTCCAGTTTTTCTCTGTGCTTTGGTAGGCATCTTGTTACATGTTATTACAGCTATTTACATGTTTTTCCAATATTATAAATGCGGGGGATGCAACAAAGATTTTTTGAATAATTGTGATAATTTCAAGATTGTCTTTGAAAATAAAAGACAAAAAAAAATGAGTCTCTGTAAAAAATAAAATAAATGGAAAGCCAAAAATAATAACTTCACCCTGCAAGCTCAAAAGAAACTTGATCTAGTCTTTGAAAAGACTGTAAAAATTGAGGGAGTTTGGGGCTAGGGAAACACACAGATTGGATTACTT